CCCCAAAACCCCAAAACCCCAAAACCCCAAAACCCCAAAACCCCAAAACCCCTCACTGTTGCGAGCGCGTTGAAGACTTAAGCTCTTGGAGATAAATTAATTATACAAATAAAATGAGGAAATCGTCCAAAAGGGAAGATGAAAAGGAGGATACTTATACTCCCTTACTTGATGATACTACTGATAACCTACAAAGTAGCGATAAGCCAGATTGTGTACCAATATTTAAGCAGAATCCATTTGAGAACAGTTGGTTGATCTCGAAGATCTTCTTTAGTTGGGTTACGCCACTCGCAAGAGTAAGTACAACAATGGATCTTTCTTTTCGATAGAATTCTCAAAATGTAACTTAGTGAACGCAAGAAGTTTAGGGTATCCTCCTATTAACTTACACATCTAAAGGTATCCATTTATGGATATAAAGCTTTGAAATATTCCTTCACAATTTTGAATCTAGTTCAATTTTCTATAGTCATAAATTTGGTTGATTTTAAGATTTTTACCACAATCTGAACTTAATTGTTGCGACCTTGTTACCAATAAACCCCGATCTTTTCTTAAGTATCAATATAGTTTGGAAGGAAGAACCATCTGAAGCCGGGCCACCTAGAGCCCTCATTAAAGATGATGGATGCTGCCAAGCTCCATGATGACATCCTTGTTAATTGGGACAAGGTTCCCCATGATCATAAGAATGCCATCTTTAAAGCATTGATGATGACGTATAAGAAGGAGTTCTTCTACGCTATGATTATTAATTTCTTTCAGGTTTGTATTGATATATCAGTCCCATTCATGCTCCATGCCATCATTAAGTTCATGCAGGATAAGTCTGAAGATGCTAGAGGAATTGGCTATGGAATCTTTCTCATCGCTTGTTATCTAATTGTCGACTTGGTTGCGAAATTACTTTCTCAGCAGGGAAACTTCCTTCAGGGATTACTTGGAGCAAAGGCTTATACAGGAGTATGCTCTATCACATATAACAAGATACTTAGATGTAGCTCCGCTACGAATAAATCATTTGCACAAGCAGAGATTATAAATTTTATCCAGGTGGATGCTGGGAAGATATTCTTCCTTGCATGGGTCCTTCCTGTTGTTGCAAGGCTTCCAATTCAGTTAATCTTTTCTATATCTTATTTGATTTATTTCTTCGGATTGAGTCTACTTGGAGCCGCAGGAGTAGCGTTTGTCTTAGTTATTATCAACTTCTTCATTGCTGTTATCGGCCAGAAAATACAGAAAGTTGTTTTAGCTAGGAAAGATGAAAGAATGAGATTTACTACAGAGCTTATTAACAATATCAAGATCATTAAGCTCAACGGATGGGTTCAATATTTCTTGTAAGTGATGGTTTTCTAAATGAGTTATAGAGACAAGGTGAATACCTCAAGAGCTAAAGAAATAAAGGTCATTATCTGGACATTCTTTGTTTTTGCAGTCAATGTTTTCTCAATGTTTATGCTCAGTCCATTGTTAATTGTAGTGACATTCGGAATTTTCTTCGGAGCTGGACACACAATGACACTTGCACAAGGCTTTGCCTGTTTACAAGTCTTAGGACAACTGAACATGCCAATCAGATGGATCCCACAATTCATTGGAATTCTCCTACAATTTACTGTTTCAATGAGAAGAATTCAGAAATTCTTGATCTGCGATGAAATAAACCCTGCAATTGTGAGGCAAAACGATCAAGAATGTGTCAACAAAGGCATAGATATTCTTGTAGAGAATTCCAACTTCACATGGGGAGGCCAGAAGGAAGAAAAGAAGAAGGACCCCAAGAAGGAAGATACTAAGGAAGAAACTAAGAGCTCTAGCAATACATCCTCTCCACGAAATGATATCAATGGAGAGAAAAACAGTAGCGAAGAAGATCTAGATTCTGAATCAACAATGTCAGATTCTGACAAAGATGAAAAGGCAGCCAAAGTGGATGAAGGGATTCAGATCAGAGATCTGAACCTCAAAATCCACCGTGGAGAGTTTATCTGTGTCATTGGAGGTGTCGGATCTGGAAAATCTTCCCTCATCAGCGCACTTTTAGGAGATATGATTTATATCTCAGACCAAACTATCAGAGAGTTCCAAGGGAAACTCTTTGAAGATGTTAGACATGAAATTATTGAGAGGACCAAAAATGAGAAGGATATCGTGAGACTTGGAGGATCTATAAGTTATGTCCAGCAACAGCCATGGATTCAGAACAAAACTATCAGAGACAACATTTTATTCGGACTGGAAATGGACGAAGAAAGATACAACCAAGCAATAGAGTTGTGTGAATTAGCAAATGATCTTGAAATCTTACCAGGTGGTGACCTCACTGAAATCGGAGAAAAAGGTATTAATTTGAGTGGTGGACAAAAAGCCAGAGTTAGTCTTGCCAGAGCTGTCTATGCTAATGCAGACATTCTTTTGATGGACGACCCTATCTCAGCATTAGACTCAAATGTAAAGAAGAGCATATTTGAGAACTTGTTCTGTGGTGAGCTTAGAGGAAAAACCAGAGTTCTTGTCACTCATGCTGTTGAGTTTCTTGACCAGGTTGACAGAATTATTGTTATGGAGAAAGGCAGAATAAAGTACATTGGAACGTATGATGAGATTCAACATAGCGACGAGATCCAGCATATCCTTAAAACGCTTGAAAAGACAGCTCGTAAGAACTCTGAGCTTGAAGAAGATAAGGAAGAGAATAAAGAGGACAAGGAAGATGTCAAACCTGATGAAAAGCTCAAGAAATCTTTTATGAGTGAGAAAGGAACCAATATCACAGAGGACGAGAATGAAGAGAAGATAGTCGTTGGCTGGAAAGTCTACTACAGCTTTTTCATCAAGAACAACTCCTGGATTTTCTATATCTTCTTTATTACACTTTCCTTTGCAGGAGCCTTAGCTATAGTGTTTAATGGGATTTTTACAGGAAGATTTATTAATCCTTATGAAGAGAAGTATAGTTTCTGGAGTCTTATTTTCATAAGTCTCAGCTTGGCTATTGTTGCTTCTATCGCTACAACAATTGTAACCACAGGAATTTCATTAGCAACAATCAAGCTTACCAGGAAGTTGCATATAGATATGCTGGAGAAAACAGCAAATGCACCTGTGAATCTTTATTTTGACAAGACTCCTTCAGGAAGGATTCTGAACAGGTACTCAAGCGACATCAATAAGCTAGACAACGGAATTGATAAGTAAGAATCAATCATAATATGTATAGAAAAGTGGGATGGATCATTAGTTGCTTCTCCATGGTGATATTTGATATTGTTGTAGCTGCTCTCAACACTCCTTTCGTACTGGCAACTCTGCCATTTATCATCATTGCCATGGTGATCCTGTTGAGATACTACATTAAATCCTTCAGAGAAGTTAATCGACTGGGAAGTGTGTCCCACTCGCCTATGATGAACCTTCTTGGAGAGACTATCAATGGTGCTACTACGATCAGGTCTTTCCAAAAGCAGAATGACTTCGTTAAAACTAATTACAAAGTTCTCAATGTGGTCACAAATGTCGGGTTCTGGAGGGAGTCTCTGAGAAGTTGGTTCGCAATTCGAATTGAGTTTGTCTCCCTCTTCTTGCTAGGATTCACTTCAGGGTTCATGGTAAGCAATCTGCATAAAATTTTAGTTATACTACAGAAGCAAAGCTGATCCAATCTTAATCGGAGTGCTGTTCAACAGATTCATCATGTTCAATATGATGCTTCTGTTTTCATGCCAACTGCTTTCCGATCTTGAAGGAGATCTTGTCAGTTATGACAGATGCCTGAAGATGCTTGAGATCCCTCAGGAAAGGGAACAGAGGAAGTATATGCCAGAGCTCATGGACTGGCCGTCCCAAGGCCAAATTGAATTTGAGGATTACTCTCTCAAGTACAGGCCAGATACCGAAGTGGTTCTCAAAAATTTGAATTTCACCATCAAACCAAAAGAAAAGATCGGGATTGTTGGAAGAACTGGGGCAGGAAAATCTACAATCTGCCTAGCACTCTGTAGAATTGTAGAGGCCTTTGAAGGAAAAATCAAGATAGATGGAATAGATGTATCGACCCTTGGAATCGCAGATTTAAGAGAAAGAATCACTATCATTCCTCAGGACCCTACTCTCTTTGAAGGAACTTTGAGATTCAATCTAGATCCTGTTGGTACTATTCCTGATGTAGAACTTCTAAGGATGGCCAGGAAGGCCAATCTGGAAGAATTCATTAATAGGGATGACAAGGGCCTTGACCAAAAAATTGAAGATGGTGGAAAGAATCTCAGCTCAGGAGAGAAACAGCTTATCTGTATCCTCAGAGCCATTCTCAGAAAGAACAAGATTGTACTCATGGATGAAGCTACTGCTAATATTGATATCAAGACAGAACAAATAATCCAGAAGCTTATTCATGAAGAATTTGAAGATTCTACAGTCTTAACAATCGCGCACAGACTCAATACTATTATCAATAGTGACAGAGTTCTCGTATTGAGCAGAGGTGAAGTCCAGGAGTTTGATGACCCTCAGAAATTACTTGAGGATCAAGACTCAATGTTCTACTCCTACGCCAACGAACTCAAGAAGCATGAAGAGGAATAATTGAATACGAATATTATCCACAATTCCTATTCAGTTTTGATTTCCATCCTAGGGGTTTTGGGGTTTTGGGGTTTTGGGGTTTTGGGGTTTTGGGGTTTTGGGGTTTTGGGG